TTGCATCTAATTTGCCAATTGACCTCAGTGAGGGTCTTCTCTTTCGCTATCTACTTAATGAATCGTCATGCCCTTATTCAGGGACTGCTTCTTTCTTTTCACATATCAAATTGTATGAGGATAAGATTCATCATTTCCACTTCTAAGGATACTAAGGATAATTCTGGCTGTACCCATATAAGACAAAATTCTCTGTTCTTCTAGCAGTCCACAGACTTTTTCAGTATTCTTCATCAGTGCCCTAATTTAAAGACAACACATTTTCTTCCATATTCTTTATCTATTAGATAGCTTCTATATCCAAATGGAAAATTACGCAAATGGTACAATAAAACAGAGTCATTGAGTTAATTATGAAACCATATGAACCTGGAGAAAGGATGAAAGTTTTACAGGTGTCCAGGTCTTTTGTTCATAGAGTCGCTATGAGTTGCCTAGGACTCGACAGCACTTAACAACAACAACAACAGCATAGAGAGAAATCAGTGGGCTTAGTGGACAGAAAGTCATGCTCCCAAGCCAAAGAGGGTGACTCTACCCCGCAGCCCTCAGGCATGCCTTTACTTGGTTTTGGTGAAACATTCTTCTAGGTCGTATAACCCTGGTCTTTCCACTTGCCGTACAGAGGTAGCTCATGGTTGCTGTGAAGCTGAGCTCTGTGACACTGATGAGTCATATGTGAGAATGGTTACCCATAGCGGACAGTGTTTGGTGGAGCTCCCTGATTAAAACAAGTTGGAAGCAGGAGTGGCATCCACTTCCGTAATAGCTTGCCTCTGGAAACCCTATGAACCTTGAGAAAGGACAAAAGTTATACAGGTGTCCAGGTCTTTCGTTCATAGGGTCGTTATGAGTTGCCTATGACTCAATGGCACTCAACAACAATAAAATAGTGACTCTGAAATAAAATAGAACTTCTTATTTTTTTAATACTGTTTATCCCTAGGGAAGCAGATGTCCTATACTTTCTCTTCTAGAACAGCTATTTGATGAATTTGATTATAACTGCACAGATAATATTTTAATACTGAACAAAGGACAAAGCTGGTTCCTATGAGGTGGAGGTTAAAGACATCCAAAAGGCCAAATCTTTCCAAATACGGTGACTATGAATAGAAAAAGAAGATAGAAGGAGTACACGGAGTTATTTTTCAAAAAGAATTGTCTGACATGGAAGAATTTTATGAAACAGCAGATGATCAAGAAGCAATGGTGATGAAGGAGAAAATACAAGCTGCTCTCAGGAAACTGGCAAAATTAAGGCCCCAGGAATTGATGTAATACCAATGGAGGCATTAAAAAAAACACGCAGCCCTAGATGTGCTTACCAGGTTGTGCCAAGAAATCTGCAGGACAGCTACCTGGCAAACTGATGGGAAAGAGTCCATATTCATTCCCATCCCCAAATTAGATAATCCAACAGAACATGGAAATTATCAAATAATATCACTAAAACCACATACATGCTGAAGATTCTGCAAAAACAACTGATATGGTACATTGATAGAGAACTTCCAGAAATACAAGCTGGATTTAGGCGAGGCTGAAGAATTAGAGATATCATCGTCAATGTTAGCTGGATCTTGGCTGAAAGCAGAGAGTAACAGAAGAATGTCTACTGGTGTTTTATTGACTTTGCAAAGGCCAATGATTATGTGAAACAGAAAAATGTGTGGCTTACACTGAGAAGAATGAGAATCCCAGAAGAGTTAACTGTGCTAAAGTGAAACCTATTCTTAGACCAGAAAGCATTTGTATGAACAGAGCAAGGAAACACTGCCTGGTTCAAAATCAAGAAAGGAGAGTAACAGAGATGTGTCCTTTCTCTAGATTTTTTAAATTTATATGCAAAACATATCACTTTGGAGATTGGATTTTATGAAGGAGAATGTGGCGTCAAGATTGGAGGAAGGCTCATAAAAAAATCCTGTGTTACGCAGATGGCACAACCTTGTTTGCTGAAACTGAAGCAGAGACTTGAAGCCTTTATGCAGAAGTACAAAAACGACAGTCTTTGCTCACCATTAAGAAAACAAAGATTCTAGCCATCAGTCCAATTGGCAAAGTCATGATAGATGGAGAAGAGATTGCTTGCTCAGATCCACAATCAACACTCTTGGCACCATCAGTCGCAAAACCACAAGATGAGTTACTTCCGTTAAGTCTGCTGTCACAAGCTTCCCCAGATGCGAAGGATCAACAATGTCAGTTTAGAGCCTAAAGTGAACCTGATCCAGGCCATCGTCCTCTCAATTACTTTCTGTGCATCTAAGAACCAGACAATGACTAAAGGTAAATGAAGAAGAATCGATGTCTTTGAGTTGCGGTGCTGAAGAAGAGTACTGAACATATCATAGACAACAAACAGGTCTGTTTTAGAGAGAATGAAGTCAGGTTGCACGTTGGAGACAAGGATTTTGAAGCTCTGTGTCACATACTTTGGGAATGTTGCCAAGAGGGACTAGTCCTTGGAGAAGGACATCATACTTAAGAAGAGTAGAGGGAAAGCACAGAACAGGAAGACCTTGAATGAGATAAATTGACACAATGACTGTGGCAAGAAGGCCAGGTGTGTTAGAGAGAGTGAGATTGGCTCAGAATAGGTATGGGCCAAGGTTGTAGTCGTTCACCATATCTGTTCAAGACTAAGGTACGCCTGATTCAAGTCATTGTAGCTAAGGTGCCATCAAGTTGAAACATTTATAAAGAGCCAATTAACAACAGATTTATACCGTAAATTCATGTCTGTCATTCTTTTTGTTCTTCATCTATATTGGGCAACATATAAGGAAGAGTAAAGAACTGATACCTTTGAATAGTGGTCACGGTAAAGAATAATGCATATACTGTGGACTGTCAAGAAAATGAAAAATGTCTCTCTTGAAACCAGGGCAGCTTGAAACTAGTGTAACCAGAATGGTCTTTGGAAGCAGGGATGGCAAGACTATGTCTCCCATAATTTTGGCATGTTATCACGACAGACCAGTACCCAGAGAAAGAAAACATGGCTGAGGAAGTAAAGGGTCAACAGAAAAGAAGAAAACTTTTGTGAGATGGGCTAAGATAGTGGCTGTAACAAGGAGCAGAAGCACAACAGAGATTGTGAGCATTGCGTAGGATCAAACCGGTTTTTGTTGTCTAGGGATACTACCAGTTGGAGCCAGTTGTTTGTCATCTAGCAACAAGACGATTGTCCCCCCTACGGTCTTGTTTTTGTTTTTGTTTTTAAAGATTTTAAATATTTGTTCAAATAAGATTTTATTTGCCAATCTCTCAATACCTTCTGTTAAATGTACATGTAGTCTTCTATTGTATAGGTCACTAAGGTTCTATTTTCATTTTTTTATTTCTTTCTCTATGAACTTTATTTTTTTGGGTTTTTTTTAAATTTTTATTACATTTTATTAATTTTAATGAACATTTACAGAGATTTTGGATTTCCATTCATTCATTGTTGCACTATTTTCTCTACCACACCCCCAGTTCATTCCTCTTTTTTTTCCCCCCCCGAAAGTCTGTTTTAATTGTCCCATTGTCACAGTGCTTGTCAAAGACAGTTCTCATAGGAAGATGTAAAAGTGCAGAGTGAAAGTATTTTCAGGATTGCTCTGTGCTAACTGAAACAGCATGTTGATATCCATCAAAGGAGGAGAACTTAGGACAGACTAAACTGGTAACTTAGTGGTAAAAATCTGCGCTCCAATCGCAAAGACATCAGTTCAAAGCCACCAGCTGCTCTGTGGGAGAAGAATGCGCAATCTTCTCCTGTGCAATTAACTGCCCTGAATACCTGTTGGAGAGTTAGCTATGGGTTGGTTCCAACTCGAAGGCACACAACAATGACAATGCAAAAATATACATTAGTGCTACACAGCAAAAATCTGTTTAAAAATGCATAAAGAAAGGTTATGTTCTTGAGCTTCAAAGATAAAAATTCAGGGTCAGAAAATGATCAGAAGCATGCAGACCTTTAGATGAACAAGTTAGTGCTATGTGGTGATCTGTTTAGATATATATCTAGAATTTTAGAGTTTTATTTGTTGTAGGATCAAAAACATATTAATATTTTATCTTTCATGTTCTTTTAACAATATACACAGTAAAACCTCATCAGGATTTTCTATGTATACAGTTCATTGGCATTGACTACATTTTTTTCCACTACTTTATTGCAGTTGTAGAACTATTCTGAACTTCCTAATTATTATTCTTCCATTAATAGAAACTCCCTGTCTCCTAAGTATCCATACCATCTAATACTTCTAGATGTCATTTTGTTTACATTTATATAGTTCAATAACTTATTCATTATTGTAGTATCACAGGTTTATATTGATTTTAAATGACACTTCCTTCAGCCATCGGCATAGAACAAACAATCCATAGGATTCAATAAATATTAAAATTTGCCAAAATATCCAATGTTTAAAATTATTAGTGCTTTCTATGATAACCAAACTATAGTCTATTGCTCCTTAAATTATTTGAAAATAACTTAGAGTAGTAAGTTTTCTTTAAAAAAACACAGAAATTTGGAATAATTGAAGATAAACTAGTGATAAAATAGAACAATGATATTGAAATAATTATTTCAATTGACCTAGAACTGTTAAAGAAGTTAGATAGCTGATTCAAAATCCAGAATTAAAGATCATATAAAACATGTTATACTTTATTTACAGTTTCTTGTAAATTTGCATGGCTGCTTTTTATACGTATGTCTCTTATCAAACCAAAAAGCACAGATTCAGAACTATAGCATGTACTTCAGGGTCAGCAATACTAGACTTACATTCTCTGTCAAAAATTCTGTCAAGTTGATGTCAGCCCAGTCTAGAATAATCAGACTCAATCTCAAATGAAGTCTAGACCACAAAGTACTAATCACTTGACTTTGATTTTTAGCCAAGTAAAAATCTATTCATTTTTACATAACTGCATGTTCTACAGTAATCATGCATTATAGTGTTTGATGTCTGTACAGATTAATTTCCATTTAGTCATAAATATGCTGAGGTAATGTTGATACTCCATAACTTTCTTATGGCATTTTTCATTTCTGCATTCCTTAGTGTATAGATGAGTGGGTTGAGGAATGGTGTCCCAATTGTATAAAATACTGTCACCATTTTGTCCATGGGGAAAGTGACAGGTGGCCTTGTATATATGAATATGCATGGACCAAAAGAGATGACGACTACAATGATGTGGGAGGTGCATGTGGAAAGGGCTTTCTTCCTTCCTTCTGCACTGTGATTTCTCAATGAATGCAAGATAACTAAATAAGAGATTATCAGAAACAAGAAACTGATTGAGCAAAGGGCTCCGCTATTGGACACCAACATTAGGTTAATCACGTGAGTGTCCATACAAGCAAGTTTTAACAGGGGCTGCAAATCACAGCAATAATGATCAATCAGATTGGGACCACAGAAGGGTAGTTTTAAGGCAAGGGCAATCTGAGCTATAGAATGTATAAAAGAACCTATCCAGGCAAAAACAATTAAGGTGATGCAGACTTGTCGTCTCATGATGATTGGGTAACGCAAGGGTTTACAAATGGCTACATAGCGATCAACAGCCATGAAGATAAGGACAAAGATCTCCATGCAGCCAAAGAAGTGAAGTGCAAAGACCTGTGTCATGCATTCATTGTAGGATATGACTTTCTTTGCAGAGAGAGCATCCACCATTAATCTCGGGGCTATGGAAGTCGAAAAGCAGCCATCAGTTAAGGACAAATAAAATAGGAAAAAATACATGGGACTCCCAAGAGACCGACTGAACTTGATAGTCAAAATAATAAGCAAATTTCCCACTACTGTTCCAGTATAGAAAATGAAGAAGATTACGAACACCATTTTCTGCCTTGTTGGACTCTTTGTCAATCCTAACAGTATGAACTCAGTTACACTTTTATTTTGCTGCATTTTTTTTCAATAGTTGCCTGGGAAGCTGAGGTTAGAAATATTTGATCTAAAAGGAAAAAAGAAATAATTTTATAAGTAAAAGATTTAGAAATCAAATACCCAGGTCTAATCATAGAACTACTATTTACCAATTTACCAATGGGTAATCACTTTGTTTTATATATGCTGATTTTTCCTGAATAAAGTAATATTCATAATTTTCTATTTACTTCTTTGCGTATGGGCTGATAATAGGAAAATAATGAAAAAGTGATAGTTCTTTAAATATAATGAACATTAATGTTTCATTTTTTTGCACATTAATGTTTTAATTTGGCATGTGAAAATAATTTCCTGAATGAATTTGTTCAGTTTTAATAAAATACCTATTAATGTTGGCTAAAGTGTAAGACAAAAATACAGAAATAGATATGTAATTTAAAGTGCTTTAAAATTATTTCTGTATTAGATGATAAAATGTTATCATAACATTAGTTTAAAAGTTCTATTTTTCTCAAATTCACTATTTTGTTACTATATTTAAGCACAATTTCTTAAAAAAAACCAGTAAAATCTTGAATTTATACATAATGAAAAGGAGAGGGATATGCTCATAAATATTTTCAAATATTAGGTTACAGCTTTTCACCAAACATCTAGAAAGAGTTCTAAAGGATCCAAGTGAAAACATATATAATTATTTCAATAAAATGATACATTATATAATAATATATCTAATAATAATATATAAGATACATATGTTTTATATAATATATAATTTTATTTGATCACATATAATTATAATATATATACTACGTATATACTACATATCTAATAATAGATATCCTTTATGTTATTTCAATATAATTATTGTTATACATTCTTAATTGTACAGTATTTTTACTTCAAGTAAGTCAGGTAGACATTTTAGAAGGACACTCATATTTATGTGTATTCAATTTTGTATTTTTCTATCTGGCTAGGCTAAGACCTGATATTTTCTATTGTCTCCTATGCACATGAAAGCTTGGACAACAAATGTACTGAAGAATTGATGCATTTAAATTTAATTCTTTGTGTAGAATAATGAATGTGTTATGTGCTGTAAGAGAAACAATCCTGTCTTGAAACTCTTGCCAATATATTCCTTGAAAGTGAAGTTAAAATTCAGCTCACTTACTTTATTCATGCTATTAGCAGAGACTGATCCATGGTGAAAGACGTCATGCTTGGTAAAGAAGGTCAACTTGAAAAGGGGAACATCTTCAATGACAAAGTGGCTGCAAATATGGCATCGAACACAGCAATGAATGTTGATTTTTGTTGAAACAGGCAATATGTTGTCTGCTTTACATAGGGTTTCTGTGAGTCAGAACCAACTGATGACATCTAGCGGTAAGAACTTAGCTTAGAATGCAACAACTTACATTGTTGTTATTGTTATATGCCATAGAGTCGCCTGCAACTCATAACAACCCTACGTAAAACAGCCCTAAACTCTGATCTATCCTGTGCCAATTGCACTACCTCTGACACTCCCATCCCAATTACCCCAGCCACTGAAGCAATCCACCTCATAGAGGGCCTTCCTCTCCTGCGCTGTCCCTCCACCCTCCCAAGCATGATGTCCCTTTCCAAGGACAGGTTCCTCCTTACAAGTCCAAAGTATGTCAGATGGAGCCTCAGAATCCTTGCCTCCAAGGAGCCGCCCGGTTTAACCCTTTCCAGGATGAATCTGTTTGTTTTCCTAGCAGTCCGTGGTACCCTATAATCTCTTCTCCAGCACCAAAGCTCAAAGGCATCAATTCTCCTTCTATCCTCCTTAGTCATTGTCCAACTCTCTGATGCATAACAAGTGATTGCAAAGACCATGGCCTGTATCAGATGCACCTTAGTCTCCAGAGAGACATCATTGCTCTTCAGTACTTTGGAGAGGTTCCTAACAGCAGACTATGTACATTTTTATGTTTATTCCATAAATTACATAATGTTGCAGTTGTGTACCATTGAGGGGGACCAATCCATAGCTGACCATCCCGTGCGTTTTCAGAGGCAGTTAATCATTCTGGACATTACCCATCCTTCTCCCGTGGAGCAGCTGGTAGCCTGGAACCACATGCCTTCAGTATTGCAGCGCAGCTTCTTGCTACTAGGCCACCAGAGCTAAATTACATAATAGTCAAAAGTAAAATAAATACTACTTTTGTAAAATATGTTTAGAATTTATATAGCAGGCATCATTTTTTAGTGTTACCAATTAAAGTTTAAGCAAAGGTCTATAGAAATGAATAATGAATAGTAGAACCAGACATGATAGTACTTTTTAAAAATCTAAGACATTAAACATTTGGAAAAAAAGGTAGATTTTATCACACTAAAATTAAAATTCAAAAAAACATCCTTATCCCCTACCTTATTTGTAAAGTGGTTATTTTTGTAGGTGTATACATGTTTATTAACATATGTTGTTGTTATATGCTGTGGCATCAGCATTGACTCATAACTGACCCTCTAGTGGGTCTTCAGGGACTAGAAACCCTGTAGGAGGACACTGTTATCTTTCTCTTGTGGAGGCTCTAGGTGACTCGAACCATATAATTTTGGGTCAGCAGCAAAACTTCTTAGCACTATGAACCCCTAGCTCCTCTTATTAACACATTGTGTATTGATGTCCCTTCAACTGGAAACTGTCTCATAACTGACTCTCCAGTAGGTCTTGAGAGGCACTAAATTGAACAGGAGAAAATGGCCCATCATTCTCCCACCGAGCAGCCGGTGGATTTGAACTTCATACCTTTTGGTTGGTAGTGCAACTCCCTACCACTAGCCAACCAGAGCACCCTTTTTTACATGCAGTGCTGGCAAAAGCGTTGAAAGTAATCAATCTCATTCCTTTTGGGTTGGTGTTATTTATGTATAACTTCTTAGGGAAGATTTTCAATGTAATAATACATCTTCATCAATCTCTGATAGAATTTCCTGTACATAAATTTAGTCATACAAAGACAAAATTTGTGGCCCTTTCCATGGTAGAAGTAGATGAGACAAAAACTGTCATGAGAACTTCAGGGAATAAAATACATATGTTGTTGTGTGCTGTTGCATCAGAACTGACTCACAGCTGACCCTCCAGCAGGTTTTCAGTGGCAGTAAATTGTATGAAAGGATATTAAATTGCATGGCAGGAGACTTCTCATTCTTCTCCCTCAGAGTAGCTGGTATATTCAAACCATGTGCCTTTGAGATTGTAGTGAAGCTTCTTACCACGAGGCCACCAGAGTTCCTGGGAGTAGATATGTTGTGCCATTGAGTCAACTATGACCTATGGCAACTCTATGAATAATAGCTCAGAGCCTTCGCCTATCCTGAGCCAACCTTACCTGCTCTGACACATCTGATTCCATTGGCACAGAGTCTGTATTCTTATTAATACAAAGAAAGCAGTTATGTACCCAACAGCCTTTTAAATGTCATTTATAGTAAAATATTTGAGAACATGAACACATTCATAATGATAATATTTTCCCTAAAGTCAGAAAAATAGGCACCACATCTATACTCTTTTATATAAATGAATTGTGTTTATGAAGGTATCAAGAAAATCATAGTGTCTGTGATGTACAGGGAGAAAAATTGTATTCTAAGCATTAGCAATGGTGGTAAACGTACATTCAAACATATCTGTGTGTATTTTTCACAATGTCTTAAGCATGATTTGTATTAAAGGAAGATTTTAAATGTCTTGTCATAAGAGTGGTTCTGATTAACTTACTTGCACTGATTGATATACCGCTACACGGTGTCTAATGTTGACAAAGTGAGTAAGATACTGTAGGGAAACTGAGTTTCAGGAGTTTGAGTAAGTCAATGAGTCAGTAAAATTAGTGACATCATACACAATCATGCTGTCTTGTAACTTTAGTTTATCTACATTTTTTCCAATGTACTTATTTTTCAAACTCTTCAGCTTAGAAAAAGAAAAATAAAATTGCTAGCATTTCTAAGAATTAAGTCATATTTTGTATGTGTCTTTCTTTATATGTTATATATGTGTCAATGTCTGGAATATAGGGAGCTCTGGTTGCCAAGTGGGTAAGGAATTGTGCTGGTATCCCCATGAATCAATCCACTAACTAACTGCTCCTTGAAAGAAAGATGGGAAAATTCTGTCCCATGCAATTTTATGCCTTCAGAAAATCTCTTGAAGGCTCGGTCAGCTGCAAAATCAGCTCTAACGTGATGTTACTGTTTATCAACAAGTCTGAACTGACCCATAGCGGACCCTCCAGTATCTCTCAGGAGAAGAGTGTCCATCCTTCTCCTGCAGTGCACCTGATGGATTCAAACTGCATGCCTTTGAGACTGCAGTGCAGTTTTTTATCGCTGGGCTGCCAAAGCTCCCTATGTATAACTATATATGTATACACACCACACACACACACACATACCTATAGAGTTATATACAGGGAGCTTTGGCGGCATAGTGGTAAGAAGCTGCACTGCAATCCCAAATTCGTGGGGTTTGAGGCCACCAGCTGTTCTTCCAATGGAGAAGGATGGGCAATCTCTCATGCAATTAACTACTTCTGAAAATCCTACAGAGGGTCACCTAAGGGCCAGTTCTGGCTTGACGGTATGTAACTATAAATATATAGCTATGTGTGTATGTATTTGGAAGCAAGAGTGACATCCACTTCCTAAACAACACGTCTCTGGAAATTCTATGGACTTTGATAAATGTCGATAGTCATAGGAAGGCTTCAGGCTTTTTGTTCAGAGAGTCACTACGAGTTGTGCTCGAATTGATGGCAATCAACAGCAACAATATGTACATATATATGTAAATTTCTATGTGCCATTAATAAAATTGATTGTTTCATTACCATCAAATCAGAACCAACTAATAGATGATCCTTCAGTGGAGTTTCAGAGACTATAAATCACACAAAGGGAGACCACTTTTCAGCCAATCTCTCTTTTCTATCTTTGTATATATAATAAATTATATTTTATAAATAAAT